CTGGTAAGAGAAGTTACAATTTCCTTTTTACATTCAGCATTCAGATCACTGGTTTTGTTCTGGGAAACAATTTTGGGGGAGAAGAAAAGAAACACTATGACAAAGCAAGAAAATATCTGTAAATTAAGAGGAAGTTTAAAACACAGGATATACTGCCTAGAGGAAAGAATGTCTGTGAAGTATTTTAGTTGTCTTTAATAGTTGACGTTTGAGAGATAAATTTTATTTTTCTGTGTGGCTATAGGTGTTAGTGTTCAAGAAAATGGGCTGGATGAAGGAATAGATTTTAGTTTCATATACAGAAAAAAATGCATTAACTCTCTGAAAATGGTATGGAGTACTTTCTGAAAGAATGTGTTCCTTATTAATGTATATGCTTCATATTATCTTGAGAACTATGTGCAAAGAACTTTGAAAGAATTCATATATTAGATAAAAGGTAGAATTGAGCAGTTTCTAAGTTTCCTTTAGTCTTGAAGATTCTATTACTAACAGCCATAGCTTTGGGTTGCTCTGTTTTCTACAGTATGTTTTTGCTAACTTTGAGTTGCTTAAATCAGAGTCCACTTGAACGCAGGTTAACATTTATACACTTGCTCCAGCTGCTGGTTTTACAAACCACAGATGCTCAATTGGATTCAGGTAAACACTGTGCCTTTTTTTCTACGATGTGATTCAAATGTAGATGACAGTGAACTGACAAGGGAGCAGCACATGAAGTTCCATATCCTCTGGGGAGTAAAGGACATGCCACCAAACAGGTGGCTCCAATTACTAACGCTGCTGCTGCCAGGGGAAACCAGAGGGGAATAAACGAACCGCCCAGGAAAGAGTGACAGCTAGAAGGGGTCGGTCCAGGAGTGCCCTGGAGCATCACCGGCAGACACGGTCCCGCGAGGCCCACTCAGTGAAGATTAATTGAAAAAAAAAGGGCAATGAGGTACTGTGTGTTCTGTAGGTGAATCTGTAGTGACAAAACTGACTTCCTTTTCTAAGCTCTGAGGCTGTAAAAAGCAAAAGAAAAGAAAAAGCTACAGACTGAGCTTGTTAGGATGACAACAGAGATGTGCTTGAGATAATGACTTTCAGGTTGTGACTGGGCACAGCCTGTCGGACCATGCTGAGACTGTTCTGGATGAACTCCGAGGGGTTCTGCTTTCGTGCCTGTTGCAGTATACAGCTGCTTCATTCGCTCAAGTTCGCTTAAAAATACCACCTCGTCTCCTTTCTTAGTACAATGACAAAGGGGAATGTTCTCTAAGCACAAGGTCAGAAACAAGCCCTTTTCAAAGCACTGTGAGTTCATATAATGGGAAGGAATGAAATAGTCAAGGAGGAGGCACTTTGGAATGTGTGTTTTAGTAGATGCTTTAATTTATTTCAAAGTAACACAATCCTCGTGAGTGCCTCTAATCACAGGACTATTTCCAGAAATCATTTTTAATTAGTGTAGATTTTATACAACCAAAGCATACAAGAGGGTGGTACACTTAGGAGCTAATTCAGGCAGCCCTCCCTATTTCCCTTGGAAAACAGAATTCAGTAATTAACAAGCCGTGACTCTGCAATCCCAGGATCGAGATAAGCATCTCCTCTACGACTGTGATTAATACTATGAAAAGCCTGTGTGCCCTATTAGTAAAATGCCTGGTCTTCTGAGTCAGACAACTCCTTGCTTTTGATCTGCACAGCTGCAGAGGCTGCCGGAGAAGGTTACGCCTCCACTTGGTTAGCATCTCCTTGAAACCATGCTGGTCAGTCTTATGTTCCAGGAGTCTCAAGGACAGTGTTCTGTTCCTCTCATTTTCCTTCCATGGAATTCAGTTATTTAACATAATACCTTCGTAAAACTTGATTGATAAGCACATCAGTTTTGGTTTTAGGATATGTAAGTTTCCGATCCCTTGTTTTTGAGGTTTTTGTTTTGTTGTTTATTTTGAGACAGGATTTTGCTCTGTAATCCAAGCTGACCTCAATCTCATGGTGATCCTCCTGCCTGAGATTACAAGCATCAGCCACTACATTCAGCTTGATACTTTGTATTGGGATAATTTGAAGAAGTTAAAAATCAAGACTAAGAATAGGCAAAAAAGGAATGCAAAGAAATTTGCGAGAGGTTTGTGCAGGTATTATGAAGATAAAAATAAACTAACACTCTGTGTCTTTTGTCCCTCTTGTGAGGGCAGAAGCTTTGCAAAAAACTGCCCAAGTTAGAATGACATCTCTCTGAGGTAGCTGTATTCTAATCACAATAAAAAAGTTTTATGACATCATGAGACAGAAACAAACATTTGTTTGGTTTTCTGACTTCTTTGGCCACATATATGTTTAGTTATCATTTAATTACTTACTATTTTTAAAGACAAAATTAAGTTAAAGTAAATATAGTTGACCACTGTTTCTACTAAGGAACTCATATTTGTCAGGCAGCCCTAGACTCCTGAGTCGGTGCAATTTGCTTCTCCCAGAGGCAGACTGGGGTCTGGCCCACCATCTACAGGGCAGCTATGGGAATGTCGGGGAGCTACTGCTTCAAAGGGAAGCCCTCTCCCCAGAACCTGCAGGCTTGAGTTATAGCACAGCACCCTTATCTCATCTGCTATAGGTGGGACCTCTAGTCTTCGTTTGTTTTTTCCTAATAGAATTCCAGCAGCAAAACATTACAGTCTCTAAAAGGGCCTCTGCACTACATTCTGGCTGTATTTGTTATTTTTCCCTCTTTCAGTGTAGTTTATCTCACCTGAAAGAAGGTCTCAGACTTTGGGTAGTTTGTTTAAAAATAATAGGTGATATTTTCACCTTATTAACTTTATGATGTTAGAGGATAAAGGAAAAGGGAATTACATGAACATGAGTGGATCTCTAAAACCACAAAGCTATACTAAGTTTTGGTTTCCAATTATAAAAAGGTATGACCTAGTCCTTGTGTAATATTGTGAAAATGTAAGAAACCATGAAAAAGTAATAAAAATCATCTACAGCTCCATTATTTGAAAAATTCAATTGAGAGCAAATCCTGCCCGTGACCTATTTTGTGAGGTCTCCAACTGAGAACGATTTCCACAATGTTAAGGAATTGTACATTACCTACAATACACATCCATATGCAGAGTTTTTACATAATTCACCAGCTCTACTACTGACTGGCCTTTTTTAGAAAATTTTGCTGATTCTTGTTTTGCAAGTAACCATTATCATTTTGGGGTCTCTTTTCTTCAATCTATTTTGAATATGCTGCAGATTTTTAAGGGGGAAAAACTGTGATGTTACTTTATGGTATTCTATATCTTACATTTTCCCTCACTTTAATGTTATGTCATGAATGTTTCCCTATTATTAAAGTTTTTTATGAAGACATATTTCAATAGAACAGGACTCTCTCTACTAGTTCTAATTTCTTTAGAGCTCAAACTTTTCAAAAGGTTGAACGTTTGTTTTTTAAAATACAGTTTTTATTGTGTTAAAATACATATTACAAAGTTTATCATATTGGCTATTTTAAATGTACAGTTTAGTGTCATTAAGCACACTCACACTGCTGTCTAACCGTTAGCACAAAACATTTCTAAAATTCTTTTCATTTTGAAAAAATAAAACTTTGTACTCACAAAACAATAAATCCCTATTCTCCTCTCCCCCAGAATTTGATTTTTAGTAGTTACATAATGTTTTCTTTTCATATTTTCTGGCTGTTCTCATTTGGTGTTTCTCTATTGACATTGGAAATAAAAACTGTTTTTGAGCTCTACTATTTGGAGTAATTAAGGGAAAGTAATTGAAGTCTTACAAAAGAACTGCCACCAATCCTCATGACAGCAAGCCTTATCTTTGTTTATTTGCTAAAAGATCATACTTCAACTAAATTGCAGTTTGGGGTTTAATAGAAAGTTTTGAAACTGTGTTTAGAATTCTGTCTCTGTGACTTAAAATTTAAGATTAAATATTCTGAGTCTCAATATTCTTATCTGAAAACCAAGGGTAGTAAAACTGGCTTGGTGGTTGTGAAGCTTAAGTAACATAAAGTATGGGAAAACCATTTAAAATAACAACCTGATGCAAATATTAATTACTATTATACCATCAAAATGTTTGCTACCAAACAAAGTTATTACTTATCAGAGAAAAATATTTTAATGAATGTTTTTGAGTGGCAAGTTCATTGCATTGAAATAATAGGAAACAGAGGACAATTTCAGAAATGACTTTTTAGAAGCTCATTTATTCCTTGGAAATTTACTATTGTCCTGGGAATATTGCATGGTTCGAAAGCTGAGCGCTTCCGAATGGCATTAAATTAAAATACAACCTTAACATGCTATGTAAGGAATTTTAAACAGTCTTATTCAATATAAAATATTTCAAATATCAGCACATTGTCTCTTATTTTTTATTAATCATTTCTCCGTTAGAATATATTTAACAGTCAATCTATGAAAAACACAGATTGGGATTTTGTAACTTTCTACAAGCTTTTTATTATTTATCTCTATTTTGTGAAATGTACGATTATTTTATTTCCCATTAGCGTAAGGATTTTAGTTATAAAACATATTGCCAGTCTCTCTAAACTTAAGTTCTCAGGTGTCTAATGATTTAAATTAATCTGAAAACTTTTTGTTCTGTGTGTACCACTGTTTCAAAGCCTCCATCTTTGTAGGTAAAGTGAATGATGCGAAGGACATATTTTGTTAAATACTAAGCATTTGCTAGATTTTCAATTATCCACATCCTTCCTCACAGTTGACAAAGTACTTTAGATAATTTTTAAACTCAACAGTCCTGTATAGCATCTTATTTCTATGCAATGGGACAGAAATTCAAATTTAAGACCCAAAGAATCACAAATCTACATGGCGTCTTCAGCACGAGGGATGACAATAAGTTTGAAGGTTTTCAAATTTGTACCTTTTTTTCAGAAAACAAGTCCAAAGTATTATGAATGTAACATATGCAAGAAGAATTTTTTTAATAGAAAAACAAAGCAAATGAAGGGCACTTACAGTTTTGTTTCCAGAGTGAATCATCAGAGTAAATCTGCTTATGTGCAGGCAGACTGTAGAGGAGGCCTCCTTTCCTTCAGGTCCCCATCCTCACATTTTACCTTCTCTGTGTCTCTTGTCTTTATGTAAAGAATTCCCATGGGGTATGCCGGAGAGATAAACAAATGCTGTGCACACAGAGAGCTCAGAGTGTGTGTACTTGGAGAGCAGCTGTCCTGAAAATCCTTCTTAAATGTTGAATGTTCAGGTTATGGTTGGGGAACAGGGACCGACTGAAAATGCACACCAAAACCACAAATAGAACTTGGACCCCAGCAACACTTCCTGGTTTCTTTCAGTACAGAGAAGAGAATCTAGCAGCCCATAGATTTCCCACCATTCTAGAGCTATTTCCTTGTATCAGAGGCAGATGTTGTAGTGCTCAAAGCACATCAGGGTGGCTGTTGGCATCTTGCTGTCTACATGCTCATGGTCTTGAGTGTATCAAGCTGGCCTTTTTAGAAAAGTGATGTTTGACTTGTTGCGTGAAATAACTTCCATCCTAGCTGGGAAATAAAGGAGTTGCAGAGAGCTATTTGGGGAACAAATCGCACAGATAAGATGGCATTTTTTTCTGACTGAGTGACAGTGTGCTGATTGGTGGGTGGGTTGTAAGATAAAGGCTATGAAGCCCTAAGCAGCCTGCTATTCTCCTTTAAAAGCATGTATAGGCAATGTTGGTGTACAAGGACAGGAATTCTATAAGCAAAGGAAAAAACGCAGTAATACTTCAAGACTAATAAATGTATATATTTTGCTGAAAGTTGTGTTTTTTAAATCTTATGGGAAAAATAAAATGTTATAACAATATAATAGGAGAATGCCAATAGTTAATACACTGCATATTGTTATCATCAAAGTAGTTATACAGAGTACAAAATATGGGCATAAAAAATTCTCCAAATGATATTAACACAACTCTCTTTTCAGTGAACTAAAACAACCTAATAGTATAACTATTTTGCATTTTCCCCTTTTACTTTTCTTTCTCCCTCTCCTACCTTAATTTCTCTTTCCTTTTTAACAGTTTCTTCTCATTTCACAGTATTTATTGTACATTTTGGTTATTTATTCTTTCAGTTTCTCACACCAAGGAGATGATACGAGTTTTAAACATATGAGTTTGATTTATTTCACTTATGAATATGGTCTCAAATTGCATCCATTTACCTTTAAATGTCTCAAGTTTATGCTTCTTTATGGCTGAGTGGTATTCAATTATATAAATAGACCACATCTTTTTTTACCTATTCCTCAGTTGATGGTCATTTCGGTTGTTTCCAAGATTTAGCTGTTACAAATTGCACAATCTCTAAGCATGTGTGTGCATGTATCACTGTGGTATGATGTCATTAATTCTTCCAGAAAGACACCTAGAAAGGGCATAGATGGGTCAAATGGGACCTCTAATCCTAGTTTCTTGAGGCATCTCCACACTGATTTCCAAAGAGGTTGTACCAGTCTACACTCCTACTAACAGCAGAGAAAGTTTCCTTACCACAGTCCTTCCAGAATTTGTTATGAAAGTTATGTTTTTTAAACACAAGTGTTTTCATGGTGATTGTATATTCAAATTTCATGGTGATTGTATATTCAAAATATGGATGTAGATCTATTCAGAATGAAAGTAATTAGGCTATTTTTTGCAAAAAATTAAGGACTTAATACCTATTTTAACTTAATTTCATAGTTATTCCTATCATCTGGTTTTCATAAACACCATCCCCTAAAAGTGTCATGTCAAGGAGATTTCAGATGAAAGAAAAAGCCCAATTAAAGCAAATTAAGCAGTTTGTTTTTCCATATCTTCCTCCATAGATAGCAGCGTCATTATTTCTCTTTTCTGGTCATCACTTCATACAACTTTTAAAACAATTTATTAGTATATGTTTGCAATATATAGTGGGATATTAGTACATATTCATGTCACATCTTGGTTCTTTTTCATTTTCCTAACTTCTGTCATTACCCGCACCATCTATTGCTATCTTATGAACTCTTAAAAAGATATTTGTTTATTAAAGTAAAAGCCTAATTTTCCAAAATGATGGTAAAATAGGCAAGTCTTCACAGCATGATAAAGTACAGTTTTTTCTGGTGGAGTACAAAGCAGTAGGGTTTGAATTTGAGGAAAGGATTCCTTTAGCTTCCACTTGACTTCTGAATCTAATTGTATCAAGAGCCTTTTATAAGAGAACAATCTGTGACAACCAATAAAACAAGCTGAATGTAGAGACAGCTACGACCTGAGTCAACTGAAAAATTAGTGTTAGAGTTGGAAAGGTCCCTAGAACTGGTTTCCCCAAACTCTGAGTTTTCTTTATCAGCAAACTGAACTTCAGGCAAAAGTAAGTGAACTATACGTGTTTATTTAGCTAGTGTATTCATCGATTTGGTATAAGAGTTTGAGCCTCAGAATTAGTCCAGTACGTCTTCTACCAGCTATGTCATGCTATTTACAAAACATAAATTAATGTAGTGCAACATAACTGTGAAGTGGAGCATATTGTAGTTTTTTATTTAGTATGGGATAGAAATCATGAGACAAGAGAGCTAGGTTTTACAGTGGGAGGCAGATTTTGGTGAGATAGAGAAAAAGGAGGAAACAGAACAAACTTGGTAGGGTGGTGCTTTATGAAACTATGATAGGAAGGTCACAGAGGAACTATGTGCATATATATAGGTGAAAGATATATATTGTCTGTTCACCTATTGTTTAAATCCTTTCCTTTCATTGGCCACGTTATGCCAAGGTCATAGCTAAAGGTTATACTAAATACATGATTTTTTTTTCATTTCAGCATCAGTCTTAAGCACAAGAAGACAAGAGTCAGTGACTTTGGAAGCACATTTATGAGGATTTATTAGGAAAAGACAAGGGTGACTAGACCAAGCCTAGGTGTCATAAAGGATATGCCAAACAATGACTATTCCTTGGGAGTAGTCCTCAAATAGCAAATGACAAAATGTCCCCATTTTCTTATTCCTGAGAATTTGTTCTCAATTGATTTTGTAGAGTGTCTACATAATACTAGCTGGCTTCATGGCACCTTGCATCAGCTTCGTTACTTTCTGTGTCTCACTTCTCTAACTCCTTCCCAAAATTTCCTTCATCTCTCAAACAAACTACCTTAATTCTTATTTCAGGGTACACTTTTCTGAGGCAATTTAAGTAAAGGTATAATAATTAGGTATAATAATAAAAGGTAATAATAAAAAGGTATAATTGAAGTTGGCAATAGAGTCTCACAGGAAACCTCAGGAGAACTCACCTGTAGCACCCATTCAGTTACGAAAATAGCAAACCTAATATCAGTAACTTAAAAGAATAGGTGATTAATTTTCCAAAGTAAATTCAACTCCTCATTGATTGAATCGAGGAGTGAGGTCTTTCTTACTCCTTGATTTCATCAGCTTTGGTTTTTGTTCTTCAGCTTTTTGTTCATAACTGAAAATATCTGCTACTCTTCAACCATGAGAGCCATATTCCAAGGATAAAGAAAGGGGGAAAGTTAAAGCTTTCCATTTTTTTAGTGTTTTGTCATTTTAGTCAGGAAAACAAAACCACTCTGTACATCTCATAGGTTGAGCAAAGTCACCTGCCATCATCAGACCAATGAAACCCAAGGGGTGTGAGATTCAGAATAGCTGCTTTAAATTCTGGATCACTTCTGGCACATGTACCTATCTAAAGAAATGGGGATTCTATCTGTAGAGAAGAGGTAGAAATGGCTTGGGTAAGCAACATCTATTTTTTAGCGTTACAATAAATATATTATCAGCTTTCTGTCTCCACACAATCTATTTCAAAACAATGATCCATCAGCAGACTAACATACTCACAGGCATGGGAGTATGAACGTGGAGGTGGGTAGGTTTCATAACTGTGTTTCCTCACTTGCTGAGTTCTAGAACTCTTTAGAAAAAAATGCTTCTGACTCAGTTTCAGCAAGTGAAATTCTTTCTGTAGCCCAAAGAAGTGTAAGCCATACTAATTAACTATTGCTTGCAGAAAGGGCTCTCCTAGGCAAAGAACACTGGGTGAAAAGAAGACAGAATTCTAAACAGTAAAGCTATTTAGAGGAAACTTGTTAAATTAAATTGGAGAACACTCACAAGAATAAAATCTGAGTCTATTTAGTTACCACAAAGATTTCCTTGCAAGGATGTCTGTAATGAATCTCCTGAAAATGAGCTGACCTTCTAGCATTAATTGTAAAACACTGCATGCCCTTTGGTTGTCTAAAAAAAGTGTATTCAAAGTGACATCTGAAAGTTCTAAAGAAATAAAAATGTACCTTTTCTTTTGCAGACAAACATCTCAAACTTTTACTTTCTTTTCACCGACTGAAGGGGAAGTTTAAAAACCAATGAATCTATTAAGATATTTAATCTTAAACTGCACCAAACAGTTTCTTTCAACAAGAACAAAACATTCTTGCTCTGAGCAGAACCTACTCCATTAAAGGCCAGACATGGGGTTTTTTTCAATCACATGGTAACTTGAAAGGTTACTTCTGCCTTCCTAAGAGCTATAGAACAATTAAGGAATTAATTGTAACTGATAAGTCACCAAAACCAGTTAACCTGAACTAGAATCTATTCTACTTTGTGAAGCTTTCTGAGGCAGATACAGTTAATTCTGATAATCCCAGATTTTTTGCTTAGAAAGCCTTTTGATTCCTCTTAGGAATCCAGACAAAATCCAGAAAAACAGTGTGTTCCATTGATATGTGCCAGACAGTCTCCATGCTTCAAATGGATCAACACAGATTAATCTCCTCAACAATTCATTAAGACCTACGCTTCTGCTACCACCTCCACTGAACAGAAGTAGAAAAGGAAATTCTGAAAAGTCAAACTATATTCTCAAGTAGAATCACTAACGGGACAAACAGGATTCAAGACTCTACATCCTACTCCAGGAATCAGCATCTTGACTTCTCTCATAGCCTGGGAAATTATAAAGAAGATCTTTACTTTAGTGACTGACTTGGCACATCATTCATTCACAAAAATATCAAGAGGAAGAAAAGAAACTCCTTTAAAAAATAAACTCAACATAAAGCTAAATTCACCTTTTTGTAGAAGCTGAAATCTACAATAAATATTGTGTGAGGGTAAGAAACTGCTCAAAGAGAAAAAGTAACTGGGGTAGGGGAAAAGATGAAAGAAGGAAGAGAAAAGGAAAAAGATATAAATGTGTGATAGCTAAGATAGCTAAAATGACTATACTACTAATTTTATTAGTTCTTGGAATAGAACAGTTAATACTCACTAGATCAATTTTACATGTTTATATCTGGTAATCTAAGCAATGCTTTGGAAGGTAACAATATGCAATACTACAACCATTGTTAAATTCCTATCATCTTGTTTTGTAAACCTATACTGCTACTGTTTTGATTTGTTGTTTGTTTGTTTTGCTTTTTGTCTTCCTTTTCTGTATCTTTTTTCTTTTAAATAAAAAAGAAGAAATTACGATGCATTTACCAAATAATGTCTAATAGTTT